ATAGGCAGTTTCTAGTATTGAAAGCAGCATCTCTCTCACACTTTCAAATCTGCAAGACGTTCACATTTTGGTTTCTCACTTGATTTTTGTTGTAGGCCTTCTGAGAAAAAATTTAGGTCATAAAACTTTGTACACATGATTCCTAGATTTCTCGTATATTCTACATCGTACCTAATGCAAAATACATGGTTCCCGCTTATAACGGGTGGGTTAAAAAAGAGATAAGTGATACGCAGTCTTATCTCTATTTTGGAGAAAGCACAATGCATGGTTCCCGCTTATAACAAGTTTAAAAAAAGATAAGTGATACGCAGTCTTACCTCTATTTTAGAGAAGTTAATTTTCGATTGTAAAACCAAAACTACATATTTCTATACCAACCATATTTGTACCAACAAACTTTTCTTTTTTTCTATTTTCATGTGTGTGTTGTTTGGTGGGGGGTGGGGGAGGACTGAAAATGCAAGTGTGTGCAATTTTCATGATCAATCTCTTAACTTCTTTTCCAAGTTTCATTTCATCTAACCATTTTCCATTTCTTCCTTCTGCCACTTGGGCTTGGGATGCAGTTCATTCAATTGAGAATTAGACATCCATGGTTTTGATCATCTAGAAGAAAGATAACTGAATCATTTAATCGAGCTTTTGGTATAAAACAGCCATGGACTGTTTAAGGATAGGCCATTATATAAATATGGGAAAGGCTATGGCACCGTCAGCGGACGGTACCGTACCAAAAATTATAATTTTTTGAAGTTAAGTTTTAATTTTTTTCTGGGTGTAAGTTATAACTTTTAAAAGGCATGATCCATTATGAGAGATTGAGATCGATACCGAAAATACAATTTTTAGATATTAGGTTACAATTTTCAAATGTCAACTTACAACTCGNACGGGTGGGTTAAAAAAGAGATAAATGATACGCAGTCTTATCTCTATTTTGGAGAAAGCACAATGCATGGTTCCCGCTTATANGTTCCCGCTTATAACGGGTGGGTTAAAAAAGAGATAAGTGATACGCAGTCTTATCTCTATTTTGGAGAAAGCACAATGCATGGTTCCCGCTTATAACAAGTTTAAAAAAAGATAAGTGATACGCAGTCTTACCTCTATTTTAGAGAAGTTAATTTTCGATTGTAAGACCAAAACTACATATTTCTATACCAACCATATTTGTACCAACAAACTTTTCTTTTTTTCTATTTTCATGTGTGTGTTGTTTGGTGGGGGGTGGGGGAGGACTGAAAATGCAAGTGTGTGCAATTTTCATGATCAATCTCTTAACTTCTTTTCCAAGTTTCATTTCATCTAACCATTTTCCATTTCTTCCTTCTGCCACTTGGGCTTGGGATGCAGTTCATTCAATTGAGAATTAGACATCCATGGTTTTGATCATCTAGAAGAAAGATAACTGAATCATTTAATCGAGCTTTTGGTATAAAACAGCCATGGACTGTTTAAGGATAGGCCATTATATAAATATGGGAAAGGCTATGGCACCGTCAGNAGGTTTCTATGTTAATTAGTGGGCAGATTTTTAGGAGAGATAAGCTGCAAACAATTCTATACCCATTTTAGGGAGACTAATTCTGAACTCGAACTCACAACGTATCACTTAGATTAATGAATAATTGTCATCGCTCTAAAAAAAGTTTTTTATATGCCTTATGCAATTGCTTTCATTTTTTTTCAAAGCATAAGCATCTGTCTATAGCAGAATTTGGGAGTGACAACTGAGGTGGTAGCCTAGTTGGCTTCCATAGAGGGTGAAAGTATTGTCCTCCTCTAGTATTCATGGGTTCGAATTTGTTTGCCGTAGTAGTTCATGTGAACCAGATATTGCTGGAAAGGTTAAATGTCCAACTTATCCTTAGTGGTGCTGTGGTAACGTGTTCAACCATCCCAAGTCAATAGCTATGACTCAAACCAAATATTATAGAGCGAGTGAGAACCTCAAAATAACGTCTTGAGGGAGTTGTTACGTTTGGTCGTCTCTAACCACCTTTTTTAATCGGTCAAAAAAACACTATATATCTAACTGTGGAGAAGTTGATTCTAGACTTGCACACACAACATACTGCTCTAACAAGAAGTTTTAATAGTTTATGTAGTTGCTTTCGTTTTGTTTAAGCACAAGCTTTATCTATAATAGGGTCTAGGAGCGATAAGCGAAAAACAACTTTACGTCTAATTATAAAATTTCAGACTCAAACACGCAAAATATCACTAGAATGAATGAATCCTCACCATCTTTCCAAATTGGGCCTCAATACTACAAACTTTTCAAGGTTATGAAATTGTTTTTATTTAGTCTTATCACTAGCTTAAAATTTTTCATCTTTCTAAATTTGCCGGCAATCAGTTCAATGATCATTGCTTTTTGTACCTAAGGATTTGTCATTATGGTAAGAAAGGGATCTTTCTTTTTTATTGCTGTTCAGAAAAAAAAAACAAGCAACTTGTGTTTTCAACTTAATGATCTCTACTTGTCATTTGTTTTTCCTTTTTTTTTTATCATAAGGGTCTTAATGATATCTGACTAAGTTGAAAATAATACAAGTTATGTAGGTCTAGTTCTAAATATAGGCATCTTGGTATCTTAGGAATTAAATATATAATCTTTGGTGGGTACTAAGTGCATAACAACTCCTTTTCAAATGTCTTCCAGATATGACCTNTATCATAAGGGTCTTAATGATATCTGACTAATACAAGTTATGTAGGTCTAGTTCTAAATATAGGCATCTTGGTATCTTAGGAATTAAATATATAAAGAGGAGAGAGACTCAAAGAAGTCAGAAAGATCACAATCTTTGGTGGGTACTAAGTGCATAACAACTCCTTTTCAAATGTCTTCCAGATATGACCTTTAACATACAAATATTCTGCTGATATGTCTTGAGCTGTTAGTTCTCATTATTCATGAAGACTCTACTGTGTATAAATATATTACTAGATGAATATGGTAGGAGCTTACAGTAAAATAACTATTGGAAATCAAATATAGTACTAGATGGGCAGTTTCTAGTATTGAAAGCAGCATCTCTCTCACACTTTCAAATCTGCAAGATGTTCACATTTTGGTTTCTCACTTGATTTTTGTTGTAGGCCTTCTGAGAAAAAATTTANTTCATGAAGACTCTACTGTGTATAAATATATTACTATATGAATATGGTAGGAGCTTACAGTAAAATAACTATTGGAAATCAAATATAGTACTAGATAGGCAGTTTCTAGTATTGAAAGCAGCATCTCTCTCACACTTTCAAATCTGCAAGACGTTCACATTTTGGTTTCTCACTTGATTTTTGTTGTAGGCCTTCTGAGAAAAAATTTAGGTCATAAAACTTTGTACACATGATTCCTAGATTTCTCGTATATTCTACATCGTACCTAATGCAAAATACATGGTTCCCGCTTATAACGGGTGGGTTAAAAAAGAGATAAGTGATACGCAGTCTTATCTCTATTTTGGAGAAAGCACAATGCATGGTTCCCGCTTATAACAAGTTTAAAAAAAGATAAGTGATACGCAGTCTTACCTCTATTTTAGAGAAGTTAATTTTCGATTGTAAAACCAAAACTACATATTTCTATACCAACCATATTTGTACCAACAAACTTTTCTTTTTTTCTATTTTCATGTGTGTGTTGTTTGGTGGGGGGTGGGGGAGGACTGAAAATGCAAGTGTGTGCAATTTTCATGATCAATCTCTTAACTTCTTTTCCAAGTTTCATTTCATCTAACCATTTTCCATTTCTTCCTTCTGCCACTTGGGCTTGGGATGCAGTTCATTCAATTGAGAATTAGACATCCATGGTTTTGATCATCTAGAAGAAAGATAACTGAATCATTTAATCGAGCTTTTGGTATAAAACAGCCATGGACTGTTTAAGGATAGGCCATTATATAAATATGGGAAAGGCTATGGCACCGTCAGCGGACGGTACCGTACCAAAAATTATAATTTTTTGAAGTTAAGTTTTAATTTTTTTCTGGGTGTAAGTTATAACTTTTAAAAGGCATGATCCATTATGAGAGATTGAGATCGATACCGAAAATACAATTTTTAGATATTAGGTTACAATTTTCAAATGTCAACTTACAACTCGTAAGAGAGAAATTACAACTGGCCAGGAGAAGCCCATTATCAATCATGAGTATCTATGATCGATCATGACCTTCCTTTGAATATTTGTAACTTCTTCTTTCAAATATATAACTTTCTCATAAAAAATTATAACCGGCAGTACGATACTAAATTTTTTTTTTCGGTACCATAGAGTTTCCCTATAAATATTCACACACATATAATATCAGATTAGATGTGCTAAGTATGACATCAATCACAAAGCATTCAGAATTCAATTCAGAGAATGCTCTGAAAAGTTATTACAGTATTGTCAACCAAACTGTTACAAACCAAATGACATTAAAAAGAGAAAGAAACCCAAGAAATACTACTGATACAAAGGCCTGCTTGTCCATCCACCCAAAAAAAAACCATTTCTATGCCTTTTTCAATCACTTCAGGCAAGAGAAAGGGACACATAACATATGTGACACACAACATATGTCCCAATTAAAAAACCTGACTAAGCCATGAGGTCATTCTTTACAACAGGAGGGTGATTAACATGGTTAATGAGTCAACCATGAAAAAATATGATCGAAAAAACCCTCCTTCAAAATGAAACCTCACAGCAAGAAAGTCATCAAGGCTGATGGTCTAAAATGGTGAAACACTTGCAGGCCTTGATTACAGGTATTTGGAAAAACAAAGACTCAGGACCGACTGTGAAAATGAAGACTGTTTCCAGCACTTTGCAGCTTAAAAAAACAAAGAAACTGAAAAAGAGGGACTTCTTTATACGAATTGAACTTTCGATTATTTTCAGATGAAGAATTTCAGAGCTGAGTGTAGGTTCTTCACAAGATCCTTCATCGTCACACTGAACCCCTCATCCATCTGCAGGAAATTGAGACAGGTTTCAATGGATCGAACGTATAATACAGAAATGATTAACAACAATGAAATTTTAATCAGCAACTTAGTCAGAAAGAAATGGGTCTTTATACAAGAGATAAAAGATTACCTGTGCAATTATAGTTATATCAAGAGCATAATTCCCAAAAGTCATGACACTGCTATTAATGACTGATAGATGGTGTTTCTCAATTTCACCTATTGTCTTTTCCAGAATTCCTTTCCTTTTCTCACTGTGAATTCTTATGAGGACATCTTTGTCAGAAACTCTTGCTTCAATTTCTAGGAGCGGCTCATCAAGAGGGCCACCGGAGAAATTTTCATATGTGGAAGAATTGGCAGGATCAGAATGAAGCTCAAACTTCTTCACATAAACTACAGATTCAATGGATTTCTTCCTGGACTGTTCTTCAAGGGTCTTTACTTGCTCTTGGAGTTGTTTCAAATACTTTATAGCATCTCCAAGAACAGAAGCCTTATCCATCTGTTTATATTGTGGTGCAAATTTCAGGATTTGTGAACAAATCAGTGAAATCACAAGCGAGAATATACAAAACTAGAGTTCAAAATCAAATACAGTACAGAGTAATTAAGACCTTCCGATAAGAGTATATCATGAATTTATGAGAAGGTGCTGCAAGGGAAGTGCATAAATAATTTGGCATCACAAATCTAGGGAGAAAGTAATACCTTCTTTAGTCCAGGGACTAGAGCAGACAAGGCTATCAACCTCTGGCTGAGCTTTTCTCTTCTCTTTCTCTCGGCTATGATGTGATCTTGAGCTTGAGAAAGTCTAATCCTCTTAGATCTTTGACAAGGAGTGAACACCTGATTTTGGTCCCCAAAGGAAATCTCTAAAGGTACATTGGTATTACTTTTGGAAAACACTGCTTCTTCTTTAGGCTTAACAAGACCAACTTCATTCGTGTAATTTGAATTGACATAGGGAAGCGTTTTGGGAGAAGGAACAGCTTGTATGTTTGACAACTGATCGGTTATGCAGGAATTCCAGCTGTTGGTTTTGAGCATTTTCATGGACCTGTTGAGGCCAGTATCAGAAATTTCCATGGAATGTTTAAGGTCAAACATCGGTTGAGAGTAAGACTGATGTAAATTCTCTCCAAATACAGCTGCCATAGACAGTGAACTGAGCTCATCAACAGAGTTTATTGGCCACTGATGGATGAAGCTGGGATCCCCAAATTCCTGTGAGTTAAAAGATTTATATTCATTTTAGTCAATAGTAAATTGTAACAAGAATGTTGAAATGCTTCAGATTCTAGTTTATTCCCAAGGTTCTTTGTGAAATCCAATAGAACCCATATTCCATCATTTATGGATAAAACTATGTACATCTAACCCTCCCCAGACCCTACAATAGTGGGAGCAGGTACGCCTTTTTTATTCCATCATTTATGATGCATTGATATCGTAATTTTCGTCATTTTAGAGAAAACCTAAAAATTACCCAATTTTTTCCCCATAAGTTTCCATTTGCTTCACATGAATAAATCATATTTAAGTATCATTCCAAATCAACTTCCTGGCATTTTCCTGGCCAAATTCTCATTTCAAGTCATATCAGATGAAAAAAAAAAGTCATATCAGATGAACTAATTAGTACAGAAGTTGCATTTGTGCTCTTAATGTTTCTCCAACCATTTTTAGTTTGATGATGAAATTTTCACCATAAAACACAAACATAAACTAGATACAAATTGAAAGATGCTTAAAGATTAACAAAATCTGCATCATTAATAGTCTTACCATTTCCGCTAATTTTCTGATGTCTGAAATCTCCAAAAGCTTACTGGGAAACCCTGAAAAAGAATCCCATCAAAACAGGTCAATTGGAGAATTTTCTTCCCATCCAGCATAAGATTTCTATGAAGTATTTGTGCAGGAGAGCAACAATTTCCATAAACCACTTCAAAAATACTAACAGAGAGGTTTCTAGAGAGAGAGAGAGAGAGAGAGAGCTTACCCTTTTGATATTATGGACAGAGCTTATCTATCTTCTCCAACCCCACAAGTTTAGGGTGCTAGGCTTTCATTATTTATAGCTCAATTAGTGTTCTGTAACCCAGACCCTCTCTCTCTCTCTCTCTCTCTTCAATGGTTGCTGATGTGAACTAATCAAAGAGATTTGAATATCTACTCTTACCATTTTAATATAAAACATAAACAATTGCTAATCAAAAAATTTAATGGGTGGCTTCTAAGCTGTCGAAATGCCACTTTAACAAGTCTTTTTGTGCCGTTTTCATTATGAGTTTTGTACTTTTTTGACCAGTCTCCCTCCCCCGTCCCAAACCAACTATTGAAATTTAAAGCTTGCAAGTGGAGAAACGTTGACTAAAATCACCACCTGTGTTTTTTGTCCTTTCTTTTGGCGCGGATGTTAACGACCCACAAGGGTCGGTGACGATATCAAAATATTGCTTGGTATTTCTATTTTTTATCTGATAAAAACATATTATGTATAGAATTTTTGTTTTATTATTTTATCATATTCTAATTAAATAATTAAAAATTATTTAAAGTTAAAATAAATTTTGACAAAATACGTCGATGTTTTTTTTTTTTTTTTTTTTTCACTTTCAAGTGTTTAGACTTGTGCTGATTATTTTCTCGAACTCCAATACTGACCACCATAACTTGAACGAGCGAGTTTAGAACATGTGTCATGAGGAACAACGTTGATTGACTCTTAAAAGATGTGAGAAATGTTGAACCTGAAATGTTTAAGTTATTAGAAGTTAGAATTAACCACCAGATTACCTATAAAGATTTTGAGGGTTTTCTACTTATCCCCAAAAATGAAGGACAAGTCCATGGTATTGGAAAAAAAAATTCAGTATTGTACCGTCATTTATCATTTTTGTGATATTTGCGATCCCTTTTTAAAATATTAAGGTCGATCGCAAGTACTATAAAAGTGATAAAAACAATCATAAAAAAAATGATAAAAATATTTATAAAAGTGAAATCATTCACTAAAATTATAAATGTTTTTATTATAAAATAATTTATTAAAATATTTAAATTTAAATGTACGATACGAAAACTTATTTTTTCATACCGTTGTCAAGTCCAAGAAAAAAACCCATAATGTCAAAATCAGACAAGAAAAAAAAAAAAAAAAAGTTTCTTCCACATTTTGCGGAAGTGTGATAGCAACCTTATTCTGACAATAACCCAACAGAGCACATGTCTGACCAAACCCAAAAAAGAAAAAAAAATGTAGCTTATCTTATGAATGTGTATCTACAGCTTTATTATCTCTCTAGATCAACCGATCACACACACGTGTGTGGTCTCGGTTGATGTTTTGATGTGGGGCAGGTGGTCTCTGTGTATGGAATCTATGGATGCATCTTATGTACAATGTGACGTAGATGTAACAATTTTAATTTATTATTTATTAATTTATTTAATTTNACATGTCTGACCAAACCCAAAAAAGAAAAAAAAATGTAGCTTATCTTATGAATGTGTATCTACAGCTTTATTATCTCTCTAGATCAACCGATCACACACACGTGTGTGGTCGGTTGAGGTTTTGATGTGGGGGCAGGTGGTCTCTGTGTATGGAATCTATGGATGCATCTTATGTACAATGTGACGTAGATGTAACAATTTTAATTTATTATTTATTAATTTATTTAATTTGTACCATAAATAAATAGATTGAGTATCTATATTAATTAATATGAATTCTAAATGAATTGAGTAATATGATTCATTTTAATTAAGCGAGTTCTAAATGAATTATGAATGAGTACCCATTAGATTGAGTATTTATCTTTTTATTAAATAGCACAAGTAATAAAATTAAATAAATATATTANGAATACTGACCACCATAGCTTGAGCGAGCGAGTTTAGAACATGTGTCATGAGGAACAACGTTGATTGACTCTTAAAAGATGTGAGAAATGTTGAACCTGAAATCTTTAAGTTATTAGAAATTAGAATTAACCACCGAATTACCTATAAAGATTTTGAGGGTTTTCTACTTATCCCCAGAAATGAAGGACAAGTCCATGGTATTAGAAAAAAAAATTCAGTATTGTACCGTCATTTATCATTTTTGTGATATTTGCGATCCCTTTTTAAAATATTAAGGTCGATCGCAAGTACTATAAAAGTGATAAAAACAATCATAAAAAAAATGATAAAAATATTTATAAAAGTGAAATCATTCACTAAAATTATAAATGTTTTTATTATAAAATAATTTATTAAAATATTTAAATTTAAATGTACGATACGAAAACTTATTTTTTCATACCGTTGTCAAGTCCAAGAAAAAAACCCATAATGTCAAAATCAGACAAGAAAAAAAAAAAAAAAAAGTTTCTTCCACATTTTGCGGAAGTGTGATAGCAACCTTATTCTGACAATAACCCAACAGAGCACATGTCTGACCAAACCCAAAAAAGAAAAAAAAATGTAGCTTATCTTATGAATGTGTATCTACAGCTTTATCATCTCTCTAGATCAACCGATCACACACACGTGTGTGGTCGGTTGAGGTTTTGATGTGGGGGCAGGTGGTCTCTGTGTATGGAATCTATGGATGCATCTTATGTACAATGTGACGTAGATGTAACAATTTTAATTTATTATTTATTAATTTATTTAATTTGTACCATAAATAAATAGATTGAGTATCTATATTAATTAATATGAATTCTAAATGAATTGAGTAATATGATTCATTTTAATTAAGCGAGTTCTAAATGAATTATGAATGAGTACCCATTAGATTGAGTATTTATCTTTTTATTAAATAGCACAAGTAATAAAATTAAATAAATATATTAATATACAAAAAAATATATACACTATTGTACTAAAAAATATATTAAAATATATACACACTAATACACCACNATACCATAAATAAATGGGTTGAGTACCTATATTAATTAACATGAGTTTTAAATGAATTATGAATGAGTACCCATTAGATTGAGTATTTATCTTTTTATTAAATAGCACAAGTAATAAAATTAAATAATATATTAATATACAAAAAATATATATACACTATTGTACTAAAAAATATATTAAAATATATACACACTAATACACCACCCATGACCCATAGGCTAGTTGACTCACGACCCATGGGTCGACCCATGACCCACAACCAACTCGTAGCTCATAATTGACCCCACCCATTATGTTTGTATTTTTTTTAATTAAATGTGTTTAAATTTATGTGTGTATTTTTTTTATTAAATGTGTTTTAATTTTTGCGTTAGTATATGTGTGTGTATTTTTGGTGTATTAGTGTGTATTTTAGTATATTAGTGTGTATATCNATTATATGTGTTTAAATTTATGTGTGTATTTTTTTTTATTAAATGTGTTTTAATTTTTGCGTTAGTCTATGTGTGTGTATTTTTGGTGTATTAGTGTGTATTTTAGTATATTAGTGTGTATATCTTTAATATATTAGTTTGTGTTTATTTTGGTATATTTGTGTGTATGTTTGTATTTGATGTACTATTAATGTGTCTATTAAGAATTTTAATTATTTTATGGGTTAATCGGTTTAACTCAACCCCTTATAAACCCAACTCATTTACTACATGAGTGAAAAATAAATTGGAATTATTTTATCCCAATCCAATTTAACTCAACTCATTATCAACCCAACTCACCTATTTGCCACCTCTAATAAGATGTATCTAGTTTGTTTTTTTTGTTTTTTTAACAACGATTAAGAGTATTCGGGATAATATTAACTTATATAATTTTTCTTTCGATTTAATCAAAGGTTGACTATTCACGATGGGATTAAAGTATTTATAAGAGATAAATTTTTCATAATCTAATCTCAAGAAGTTGTCAATCTCGTCTATATTACCACTTGAATTATTCCTTTGAATTGTTGTGTCTAGTTAGGGGGTGTGAATTTTACATATCGATACCTACAAAAACGAATTTGATATGATAAGAATATAAAAACAATACAACTGATTAATACAAATAATACATAGGTTCAGCTAGTATTGATCAAAAATAACGTTTTTAGCTGTTATTGTATGTAGAAAATAAATAATTTATTACTCTATATTATTTTCTTTACATAGCAAGGTATGAGTGATCGTATAATTCAATAACTTTTTAATTAACACGAATACGATACGAACATTACCTAATTTAAGAATTAGACAATTCAAAATAACACGCCACAACACGAATATATTTACTAATTGCCACACAACTCCAACTTGATAGGTTTCATAACATGTAACCATAATTTCGCCGACACGGTTTAAACTCTCCTCCAATTTTCATAAGAATTCGAAAAGCTTCTAATATTTTCGCAGATTCTGCTGATTTTGAATTTAAAAATTTTGGAATACTTCTTGAATTTACTGATGTATATAAATTTTAACCATTTAAATATTTATTCGAGCATCGGGAAGCCAAACCCAGTTGACACGTGAAGTAGATGACATGGCAAACTTATTACTCTGTAGATTTGTCATTGGGTGAGTTTATTTTTAAAATGAGTCAAGTTTGGTTCATTTTTTTTAGTAGCAAGTGAATTCGAGTTGAGCCCCCCAACAATTCGATTATTTTATATATAAATGAATTAAATTTATAAAACTCATTTTTTAAACAAGACTTAAAAATTATTCAAACTTGGATCATTTTTTAAACGAACAAAATCAAGTTAAACTCAAAACAAGTCGNATCAACCCCTTATAAACCCAACTCATTTACTACGTGAGTGAAAAATAAATTGGAATTATTTTATCCCAATCCAATTTAACTCAACTCACCTATTTGCCACCTCTAATATGATGTATCTAGTTTGTTTTTTTTGTTTTTTTAACGACGATTAAGAGTATTCGGGATAATATTAACTTATATAATTTTTCTTTCAATTTAATCAAAGGTAGACTATTCACGATGGGATTAAAGTAATTATAAGAGATAAATTTTTCATGATCTAATCTCAAGAAGTTGTCAATCTCGTCTATATTACCACTTGAATTATTCCTTTGAATTGTTGTGTCTAGTTAGGGGGTGTGAATTTTACATATCCATACCTACAAAAACGAATTTGATATGATAAGAATATAAAAATAATACAACTGATTAATACAAATAATACATAGGTTCAGCTAGTATTGATCAAAAATAACGTTTTTAGCTGTTATTGTATGTAGAAAATAAATAATTTATTACTCTATATTATTTTCTTTACATAGCAAGGTATGAGTGATCGTATAATTCAATAACTTTTTAATTAACACGAATACGATACAAACGAACGAACGAACATTACCTAATTTAAGAATTAGACAATTCAAAATAACACGCCACAACACGAATATATTTACTAATTGCCACACAACTCCAACTTGATAGGTTTCATAACATGTAACCATAATTTCGCCGACACGGTTTAAACTCTCCTCCAATATTCATAAGAATTCGAAAAACTTCTAATATTTTCGCAGATTCTGCTGATTTTGAATTTAAAAATTTTGGAATACTTCTTGAATTTACTGATGTATATAAATTTTAACCATTTACATATTTATTCGAGCATCGGGAAGCCAAACCCAGTTGACACGTGAAGTAGATGACATGGCAAACGTATTACTCTGTAGATTTGTCATTGGGTGAGTTTGTTTTTAAAATGAGTCAAGTTTGGTTCATTTTTTTTAGCAAGTGAATTCAAGTTGAGCCCCCAACAATTCGATTATTTTATATATAAATAAATTAAATTTATAAAACTCATTTTTCAAACAAGACTTAAAAATTGTTCAAACTTGGATCATTTTTTAAACGAACAAAATCAAGTTAAACTCAAAACAAGTCGAATTCAAACTAAATCCAAATAAATCAGATCATTTACTATCCCTACCCACACACCAAACAACTATTCAAAGTGAGCAATAGAAGATACCAAGAGTCAAATTGTCAAACTTTTAATATATTAGACATTTAATGTGAGAAATTTAATTTTTTTAAAGTACAAAGCCAGATTTTTTAAGTCTTTCGGGGGTGTCAAATACAATTTCCCCTAATTAAAATATAATTTTTTAGTAATTAAAATTACTGATAGGATTATATATCAGTCGACAATCGTCCTTAATGCTACATCTTTAAGCATTCGAAGTATTTGCCAATACTACTTATAAGAGATTCGGTGGAGTCATATTCAACTCAACACTTTCCTATCAAATATTGTTTTATACATGTTACCAAGAGTCTCACACAATTCACCTAAGAGACATTTCAAAGACAACCTCGTCAAGTCATCTGAATCACAGACATCACCTCGAACGANAAGTCTCACACAATTCACCTGAAACGTTAAGAGACATGTCAAAGACAACCTCGTCAAGTCATCTGAATCACAGACATCACCTCGAACGAACTACTNGAGTCTCACACAATTCACCTAAGAGACATTTCAAAGACAACCTCGTCAAGTCATCTGAATCACAGACATCACCTCGAACGAACTACTCTACAACCCAGTTTGAATCTCTGGTCATATTCAACTTCTACTCTATGCAACGCTTCGTGGATACTGATCAATGCTATTCTAAAGCACTGCTATGACATGCATGCTCTTCAAATCTATGACCAAAATCGTGACCTTAAACAATAAAGCCTAGGCTTTGAGCCAACAATCCCTTCTTCATATACAGAGTTGTTTATATTGGCCCTGTTCCAAAGCCTCCCATGCAACTCCTATTTGAATTTTCACTTACTTTTTCCCCTTGAACCAAGTAAACAATAAGTGGGAAGAACAGAGAAGCCCAAATATACTAATAAAAAAATGTTACAGAAATGCTATTTTTCATTGATTTTTTAGATATTAATTTGTGCACAAACACACCTATCGAAGCCGAGCCGCTATTTCTTTCATGAAAATCAGGAAGGTGGCATATTGCAACAGTGGAGGGATCTGTTGTGTGATAACACCAATATTTGCAAGGAAGGTTTTCGATACCATCTGATGATCAAGAGGAAGAAGAACATGGCAGTATATTTATTTTGACATATACAACTACCTCGCAACCTGTTGCAAAGGTAGCCAAGCAATCTCATTATCATCTGTGTAGCCGTGAATCAGGAAATCTGCACAATTCCTTCGGTACCCATGGTTATATGGGTTGCGGAATTGCCCATCCGGACCACGAAGGTAGCCATACCGGAAAGCATTTGCGTATTCGTTGGTGGTGATGTTCCGAGAGATCTGCATCAAAGACAACTCAATGGATGATATTTAACCATGACAACATATAATGAAATCGTTTATCCGGATATATTATTTCAAAAAAAAGAAAAAAAACCTTCAATGTAAGACAGTATGGAAAAAGCACAAAAATTTTTCATTCAAGGAGAGCAGAAGAGAAGGAAGAAGTAGAATGCAATTGAATTTAAAATAGAATAGAGCATGTTAAGAATAGCCTTTACAAACTCCAAGAAGCGTAAGAGACAGTAGGGGCTATTCGCGATTTACAACTCTGGCTTCTTTATTTGTTTTTGTTTTTCTCACTCAGAAGGGCTTCTGAGTTAATGTAAGGGCACTTTTGGCATACACATGGAATGTCGGAAGTTATAAATACTCCTGGTTCTTCCATGATTCTATGGATGCAGATTGCAGACCCAAGGTGGTTCCGCAAATAGAACAAGAAGTTGGTGATTAGTATATGCCTTTAAGGTCCTCTAGTCAGCTTNGGAAGTTATAAATACTCCTGGTTCTTCCATGATTCTATGGATGCAGATTGCAGACCCAAGGTTGTTCCACAAATAGAACAAGAAGTTGGTGATTAGTATATGCCTTTAAGGTCCTCTAGTCAGCTTCTTCAATAAGTCTAAAAAGAAGATTTCTTACCCTAGGTTGGTTGGGGAATGAGATAGCAGAGGCAATCTCCTACCGAATTCTGATACAAGAAAGTTGACTCCACCTGGGGTGTTGCTCCAAGAAATCCTTTTTTTCTCGTCACTCAGGGGGTGCGGACCACCATTCCACACGCTGCCTAGAGGCGTGGTTATCTAAAGTGGATTCTCGCTTTTGTAGTAGATGCCGAACCTGCTGCCCCATTGACTAAGAAGGGACTGGGTGCTACATGGACCTCTTCCTTTCTCTGGACCACTTTTTTTACTAATGAAAGGGGGTCAAGATCTTTCAAGACTGATTAACTAAGGAAACCTCTTCATTCGTTTAGCCCAATTTATTTACAGCCCTATTGACTAATCAAGATTCTCGCTCACCTTTAATCGATTAATCCAATGACTTAGGAGAAAGATGCTCAGTAAATCGATGAAAGCATAGCTAACACCAATTTCTTTCTGGTGTATAGAACATACACTTTCAAACCTTTCTAGTCCTAGAATAATTTTCAAAGTGCAGGAGCAGACCAAAACAGAGATCAGAGCACCACGTGGCTTCATAGACAGTAAAGGATAATACATGTCAAGGCTGAAGCAAATTTGTATACATGGAACAGAGTGATGCTCAAACAGATTTGACGACAGTTATTATGGTCTGGACATTGTCAGTGCATTATAGCGCTATGACATACAGCATGAAATAACAAAAAATAAGGATTTCACAAATTGAACATCCAGGAACATTAGAGTAAGCAGTTAAAGCAGACTAAAAAATGGGATTGGATGGCTACTTCCACAATGCATCACTGTATACAACTTTCATATACCATAATGGTTGGATCCAACAAAAATGACTTTATGACGAAAGTGATCGCCACTAGAGGAAGCAATCTAAAGTGACTGTTAGGAATGGAATTCCTCGTGAAATAGGGTAACTGACCCCATTCTGTCCCCAATGGTATGCATTTGAGGAGATGCAGATTTGCCCTAGGGATGGGTATAGGGATGAGAGATGAAACCCACTTGGGTTCAAGGTGGGATTGGGTTCAGGCTATGGCTCAAAGTCACAATATCGGCCATCAATTCGAAGGGCACTGATACACATCGGTCGCAGCGTCACAGTATGGTATCGACCGATACACACACAAAAAGTAACGTAGAAGGCTAAAAAAATTCTTAAAAAATTATTAAAAATTTTAAAAAGTGTAAACAACATCATTGATGCATTATATGTCCAAAATACATCCCTTAAACAATTAAATTTAGTGAAAATAAGATGTAAAGATGCTACCGAAAACTTTTATCATCATCTATGTTCAATGTGAACATTTAAGAACATACTCATTTAAAAAATTAAGAAGTAGAAATTATTAAAAAAATTATAGAAGTAAGGAATGAACTTAATTGAAAATTTTACAAAAGTAGGAATCATTATATAAATTTTATTTCCATTTATTATTTAATTTAAAATTTGCTTAAGTTAACAGATACAAAATAAATAATTATTAATGCATCATAATTATGCATTTTTATGCACCCAAAAGTAATAAAAAAAACTTATGATAAAAATAAAAACTCTAGGATGACCAGGATTGACCAAAAAAAAAGAAAGAAGAAGAAAAAAAAAAAAAANTCTTAAAAAATTATTAAAAATTTTAAAAAGTGTAAACAACATCATTGATGCATTATATGTCCAAAATACATCCCTTAAACAATTAAATTTAGTGAAAATAAGATGTAAAGACGCTACCGAAAACTTTTATCATCATCTATGTTCAATGTGAACATTTAAGAACATACTCATTTAAAAAATTAAGTAGAAATTATTAAAAAAATTATAGAAGTAAGGAATGAACTTAATTGAAAATTTTACAAAAGTAAGAATCATTATATAAATTTTATTTCCATTTATTATTTAATTTAAAATTTGCTTAAATTAACAGATACAAAATAAATAATTATTAATGTATCATAATTATGTATTTTTATGCACCCAAAAGTAATAAAAAAAACTTATGATAAAATAAAAACTCTAGGATGACCAGGATTGACCAAAAAAAAAGAAAGAAGAAGAAAAAAAAAAGAAAGAAAACTCTAGGGACTCAAATAAGAAAAAGAAAGGATAACTTACAACTATTGTACATCTGGACTATTGAGTCTCAGACCAAAAAGAAAATATACATCTTGGGGTCTTGTACTACTTGTCTATAGAGAACGAGAGAGAGGCCCACTCGTTCAGAGAGAGACCAAGAGAGAGAAGCTGCGATCGAGTCAATGCTTCGTCAAAGAAAAAGATTCTGACTAAGAAGGAGAATAAGTAGAAGAAGAAGAAGAAGAGTAAATCTGGGTTGTTTCTACATCAAAGAAGAAGAATGATGGAACTTACCTGTTACTCGTCCAGGTTTCCTTCCTTTCTTTTTTCAATATTCTAGCTACGTATATACAATTGCAAAAAGCGGATTTATGATTCTTCTGTCACTTTTCTTTTTCTTTTTTGTCTTCTTTATTTTCTGTGAGATTTCTCGAGTTGGCGGACAAGTCTCGCCATAATATCCAATTCTGATAAGAGTCATCCGAGTTGACCTGATATAACTCCGAGTCATAACCGAGTCACTACCGATTCAGGTAAAAATCGGAATTTCTATATAAAGTGTACCAGTATCGGACTCGGCCGAAACCTTAAACCATGGTTCAGACCATCCCATCCACCCAGCACCCATTATGTGTGCATATACTCAAGCACCCATGCTATCATGCTGAATTTCTTCTGTGCACTTATAACATATGACAATAGGTGAGGGGTTTTACTATTCTTATCCTTTCACTTTCAGCCGCTTCTCTCGTTTCTCTCTCTTTGGTATCTCCCTTTGTATTATTATGTCATCAAACAACTACCCTCGCCTCTCTCCCTTTTTTGACTTGCTTCAACCTGTAATATTTCTAGCCCCGCATCATCTTGTTAAGATTTCTCAATGGGCCTTTTCTCAACCGAACTTAGCAACGGTATATAGTTTAAGTATTCGAGCACATTTCTTTCCAGATTGGAGCCAATCTTTGTGTAAAATATCAATTCCAGATTTGAAAACCAGAACACAAAAGGGTCACCGGGTCAGACTCGGACAGGATGGGAGGTCCTCAAGTTCAGGGATAAAGTGAAACATCAGACCCCATCACAGGTTTGAGCAGGGACAGGGTGAGGGTCTTGTCTGACTAGAGACATAGGTTTAACTTCAGTCAGACGTGCAGGTTTAAGTTCAGTCCTCCCNAAAAAGAAAACTCTAGAGACTCAAATAAGAAAAAGAAAGGATAACTTACAACTATTGTACATCTGGACTATTGAGTCTCAGACCAAAAAGAAAATATACATCTTGGGGTCTTGTACTACTTGTCTATAGAGAACGAGAGAGAGGCCCACTCATTCAGAGAGAGACCAAGAGAGAGAAGCTGCGATCGAGTCAATGCTTCGTCAAAGAAAAAGATTCTGACTAAGAAGGAGAATAAGTAGAAGAAGAAGAAGAAGAGTAAATCTGGGTTGTTTCTACATCAAAGAAGAAGAATGATGGAACTTACCTGTTACTCGTCCAGGTTTCCTTCCTTTCTTTTTTCAATATTCTAGCTACGTATATACAATTGCAAAAAGCGGATTTATGATTCTTCTGTCACTTTTCCTTTTCTTTTTTGTCTTCTTTATTTTCTGTGAGATTTCTCGAGTTGGCGGACAAGTCTCGCCATAATATCCAATTCTGATAAGAGTCATCCGAGTTGACCTGATATAACTCCGAGTCATAACCGAGTCACTACCGATTCAGGTAAAAATCGGAATTTCTATATAAAGTGTACCAGTATCGGACTCGGCCGAAACCTTAAACCATGGTTCAGACCATCCCATCCACCCAGCACCCATTATGTGTGCATATACTCAAGCACCCATGCTATCATGCTGAATTTCTTCTGTGCACTTATAACATATGACAATAGGTGAGGGGTTTTACTATTCTTATCCTTTCACTTTCAGCCGCTTCTCTCGTTTCTCTCTCTTTGGTATCTCCCTTTGTATTATTATGTCATCAAACAACTACCCTCGCCTCTCTCCCTTTTTTGACTTGCTTCAACCTGTAATATTTCTAGCCCCGCATCATCTTGTTAAGATTTCTCAATGGGCCTTTTCTCAACCGAACTTAGCAACGGTATATAGTTTAAGTATTCAAGCACATTTCTTTCCAGATTGGAGCCAATCTTTGTGTAAAATATCAATTCCAGATTTGAAAACCAGAACACAAAAGGGTCACCGGGTCAGACTCGGACAGGATGGGAGGTCCTCAAGTTCAGGGATAAAGTGAAACATCAGACCCCATCACAGGTTTGAGCAGGGACAGGGTGAGGGTCTTGTCTGACTAGAGACATAGGTTTAACTTCAGTCAGACGTGCAGGTTTAAGTTCAGTCCTCCCATAACTGCCAAATTGCCATCCCTACTACATGTCCGTTAATAAATAGTTTAACAAACCAGCTCAATTCATTCTTACAGATGTTATGATCCTCTCCTGAAATCAAATAGTAGTATATTCATGAACCAAGAAAATCAAGAAAACAAGTCAATATGCATAAATTCATCGAAATATATCCCCAATTTAACAGCAAATGAGGTTCGCAAAGTAGATAGATATCTAACACAAATGAGTTTCGCATAATATCTCGGACTGCAACAAAGGAAATAGCAATGAACCCACAACTGCTTTCCCAGTGAACCTTAAAAGACATCAGACATTCACTACCAAAGAATCAAAACATCAATAAATACATCTAAAACCAAGGAAAATACTATTCCATTACCTGGGATGCTTGTACTGCTAGCAAAGTTGCAGCAGCAAAGAAAATAAGTGTGTCCATAACCAGAAAAGCAACAATTCCAGGATGTTCAACAACCACATGATGAATCCATGTTTCTTCAGCTTGCAATGCTGGTACCGATCTCCAAATCCCTGTCATAGCATATAAAAGCTGTAAGCTGATCTAAGATGGTATGTATATTAAAATCATTTGGGCTTTGCATACTTTGAACTGCAACAACAGCACTGACGAATGATGTTGAAGTTCCAAAGCAGAGAAAAACAAAGAAATCCCTTTTATTTCTCTGCAAAATTCAGAGTGATGACAACAATGAAGCCGCAGTGACAAAATGTGAAAGAGAAATGAAGAGGATAGGGGAGGTGGGGGAAGAGCTGCATAAAGTAAATTACTGAAGAGACATGCAGAGTATCAGTTAATTATCCCATTATAAATCTATGAATATCTCAGTAATAGGCAAAAATCATGAGATTCCAATTCACCCTCAAAGGCCCAAAAAAAACAGGAAATACAATAAGATGGAAGCTAGATTGATACAGCATGGAGCAGAAATGAAAGCACGAATAGGAAAATCCAAAAATATTTTTGAGTGGAATCAAAATTTGATGAAAGACAAAATTAATGTGGCATGACTCAAGTAGAATGTTTTCCGTTCTGACAGGTTCAGCAAATGGGCAAAACCATTTTTTCACCAGTTTATCATAATTCCTATCAATGAAATAGCTTCTAGAAGTGTGCCAAAGAACAAAATCGAGGAAACTAAAGAGGAGCACCCAAAAATCAGATTCAGCTCCCTTTCAAAGCAATTATGGGGATGACTTCAGGGAAGTGACCATGCCAAAAAATTATCAGCACTGCCTGGATTCATCAGGGTCTGTTAGACCTGTCAAAATCCAACACGACAAGATTAACCGACATAAATTAAGCGAATTTGGGTGAGACCTTAACGGGTTCGGGTGATAAACGGGTTGACCCGTTTAATAAACAGGTCGTGTTCGGTGAGAATTGTCAACCCGTTTACCTGTTTAAATAAAATTAATATAATAATAAATTAATAATTATTTTAAAAATTTAACCAATTTTTTTTTTTTTTGTGACAGCCACACAAAAAATATATAAAATTATCTTTCCCTAACCCTAATTCTTTGTACGCTGCTTTTTCCTTGTTGCACCTCCATGCTGCTGAAGCCTTGTTGGCTGTTGCGCCTCCACGCTGCTGAAGCCTGCACCCATTGAAGCCTTGTTGGACTCCACGCTGCTGAAGCCTTGACAGCAACTCAACGAACTGCTTACCACCGGTAAATCCTTTTTTCCTTAATATATATGGCATATATGCAACATGTGTTTATATAATACATGTGTTTATTTTGTGTGTTCTTTGTTATTTATATTTAGATCTGTGTTTAACTGCTTTGTTTTTGTGTGATTTGTGATGTTTTAATTTTATCAAAAATAATATGGATTCGAACACATAAAATCGGTTTTAATTTAGACTGTTTTGTGTTTATATGAACTGTTTGGTGTTCTTTGTGATTTGTTATGTTTTAATTTAGATCTGTATATAATCAATTATTATTTGTTTTTGTTATCTATTCTGGACCTTAAACCCATTAGCTATTTTTTTGTATCTTGATATGGTGGTTCTGGTGTTGGTTATTATGGTATTAGTTTTTTTTTTTTTTTTTTGTGTGTTATTGCTTTGAAAAAATATCTTCTTGCTTGAAATTGGAGTTTCGGTCATGGCTCACCAAAACCATGGTATGTTTGCTTTAACCCATTTTCTTCCTGTCGTGGCTCACCCAAACCATGGTATGTTTGATCAATCTCGCATATAACAATATAATTTCAAATGGGTTACAATTATTTTATCTAATGAATGAGTTGTGTTCTTAATATGTGATATTTGTTGTGACAGCCACTATTTTTAGAGACAGTCAATCTATTTTTAGAGATAGCCACTCTATTTAACCCACTCTATTTTCAGAGACAGCCACTCTATTTTGTGTTCTTAATATTTTTAGAGACAGCCACTCTATCTGTTATGTGTTCTTAATAACTTCTTAATGACAACTACTCTCTTTTTTTGCCTTAATCAGATGGATTTTTCCGAACACAATATTATAGTTTCTGATGAAAAAAATCAGGTCGAGCATGAATCTAAGTTGGATGTAGCTCCAACAACACAGACATCAACTGGTACAACTACAAAAAAAGGTAAATTTAATCGTAAGCGATAAAAGGCTTCAATAATATGGAAATACTTTACAAAATTAAATGAAAAATATCTAGACGGCAAGAAACGTGCATGTAATAGTTGTGGTATCAAATATATATGTGACTCTAGTCATAGAACTGATAACATGCATACTTACATGAAAAAATGTGTGAAAAAAAACACCGGAGATATTGCACAATTACTTCTAAGTCAAGGTCAAGGATCTATGCTAATGCGATCCACAAAATTTGATCCTAAAAAGTTTCGTGAGTTAGCGGTTGAGACAATACTTAAGCATGATTTACCATTTCGATTTGTCCAATATGAGAGTATTAGAGCAATGTTTAAGTATGCTTATGAGAATATCAAAATGCCTTCTAGGAATACTGCAAAGTCAGATGTGTTAAAAATGTATAAGAGAGAGAAGAATAAATTTAAAATTGTGTTGAATTCCCTTCCTAGAAGAATTTGTTTGACATCTAATTTGTGGACTTTTATATCGACTAATGAATATGTTTCTCTCACAGCCCATTATGTTGATTTAGATTAGAATTTATAGAAAAAAATTTAAAATTTTTGTCTCATGCCCCCCTGTCCACACTGGTATTGCCTTTTCTGTGAAAAATTATACATTTTTGACTAATTAAGAAATTGAAAGGAAATTATTTTCTTTAACTTTAGATAATGCTTCTAGTAATGATTGTTTTGTTGAGTTGTTGAAGAGTCAACTTAACCTTAAAAATACTCTCTTGAGGGATGGTGAGTTCATCCATGTTCGGTGTTGTGCACATATTCTTAATTTGATAGTCCAAGATGGTTAAAGAAATTTGATAGTCTTGAGGGATGGTTAATTTGATAGTTAAAGAAATTGATAAATCAATGATAAAAATTCGATAAAGCANTCAGTGATAAAAATTCGATAAAGCGTCAAATATATTGAAGGTTCATCAGGAAGGAAAAAGAAATTCATGGATTGTATTGCTCAAGTTTTATTAGAGAGTAAAAAAANACCCTAATTCTTTGTACGCTGCTTTTTCCTTGTTGCACCTCCATGCTGCTGAAGCCTTGTTGGCTGTTGCGCCTCCACGCTGCTGAAGCCTGCACCCATTGAAGCCTTGTTGGACTCCACGCTGCTGAAGCCTTGACAGCAACTCAACGAACTGCTTACCACCGGTAAATCCTTTTTTCCTTAATATATATGGCATATATGCAACATGTGTTTATATAATACATGTGTTTATTTTGTGTGTTCTTTGTTATTTATATTTAGATCTGTGTTTAACTGCTTTGTTTTTGTGTGATTTGTGATGTTTTAATTTTATCAAAAATAATATGGATTCGAACACATAAAATCGGTTTTAATTTAGACTGTTTTGTGTTTATATGAACTGTTTGGTGTTCTTTGTGATTTGTTATGTTTTAATTTAGATCTGTATATAATCAATTATTATTTGTTTTTGTTATCTATTCTGGACCTTAAACCCATTAGCTATTTTTTTGTATCTTGATATGGTGGTTCTGGTGTTGGTTATTATGGTATTAGTTTTTTTTTTTTTTTTTTGTGTGTTATTGCTTTGAAAAAATATCTTCTTGCTTGAAATTGAAGTTTCGGTCATGGCTCACCAAAACCATGGTATGTTTGCTTTAACCCATTTTCTTCCTGTCGTGGCTCACCCAAACCATGGTATGTTTGATCAATCTCGCATATAACAATATAATTTCAAATGGGTTACAATTATTTTATCTAATGAATGAGTTGTGTTCTTAATATGTGATATTTGTTGTGACAGCCACTATTTTTAGAGACAGTCAATCTATTTTTAGAGATAGCCACTCTATTTAACCCACTCTATTTTCAGAGACAGCCACTCTATTTTGTGTTCTTAATATTTTTAGAGACAGCCACTCTATCTGTTATGTGTTCTTAATAACTTCTTAGTGACAACTACTCTCTTTTTTTGCCTTAATCAGATGGATTTTTCCGAACACAATATTATAGTTTCTGATGAAAAAAATCAGGTCGAGCATGAATCTAAGTTGGATGTAGCTCCAACAACACAGACATCAACTGGTACAACTACAAAAAAAGGTAAATTTAATCGTAAGCGATAAAAGGCTTCAATAATATGGAAATACTTTACAAAATTAAATGAAAAATATCTAGACGGCAAGAAACGTGCATGTAATAGTTGTGGTATCAAATATATATGTGACTCTAGTCATAGAACTGATAACATGCATACTTACATGAAAAAATGTGTGAAAAAAAACACCGGAGATATTGCACAATTACTTCTAAGTCAAGGTCAAGGATCTATGCTAATGCGATCCACAAAATTTGATCCTAAAAAGTTTCGTAAGTTAGCGGTTGAGACAATACTTAAGCATGATTCACCATTTCGATTTGTCCAATATGAAAGTATTAGAGCAATGTTTAAGTATGCTTATGAGAATATCAAAATGCCTTCTAGGAATACTGCAAAGTCAGATGTGTTAAAAATGTATAAGAGAGAGAAGAATAAATTTAAAATTGTGTTGAATTCCCTTCCTAGAAGAATTTGTTTGACATCTAATTTGTGGACTTTTATATCGACTAATGAATATGTTTCTCTCACAGCCCATTATGTTGATTTAGATTAGAATTTATAGAAAAAAATTTAAAATTTTTGTCTCATGCCCCCCTGTCCACACTGGTATTGCCTTTTCTGTGAAAAATTATACATTTTTGACTAATTAAGAAATTGAAAGGAAATTATTTTCTTTAACTTTAGATAATGCTTCTAGTAATGATTGTTTTGTTGAGTTGTTGAAGAGTCAACTTAACCTTAAAAATACTCTCTTGAGGGATGGTGAGTTCATCCATGTTCGGTGTTGTGCACATATTCTTAATTTGATAGTCCAAGATGGACTTAAAGAAATTGATAAATCAGTGATAAAAATTCGATAAAGCGTCAAATATATTGAAGGTTCATCAGGAAGGAAAAAGAAATTCATGGATTGTATTGCTCAAGTTTTATTAGAGAGTAAAAAAAGTTTGCAAGGAGATGTTCCAACTAGATGAAACTCAACTTATATTATGCTTGACAGTGCACTTTTTTATCGTCGTGCATTTATTCATTTACAATTGAATGATTCTAATTATAGACATTGTCCTTACCAAGAAGAATGAAGCAAAGTAGAGAAGATTTTTAATTTATTAAGGGTGTTTCATAAAGTTACTTGCTTATTCTCTAGTACAACATATCCCACAGCTAATTTGTATTGCCCCCAAGTGTTCCTAATTCAATATACTTTAAATGAGGCATTAACAGATAATGATAGTTTTATGAGGATGATGGAAAGTCATATGTATGCCAAATTTGACAAGTATTGGTCAAAGTATAGTGTGATTCTTTCAATTACTAACATCTTAGATCCTCGGTACAAAATTCAGTTTGTAGATTGGGCTTATTCAAGACTTCATAATGGTAATTCCTATAAGTTCAAGTATGTTCAGGATACTATATTTGAGTTCTTTAATTTGTACTCTGCCAACTTGTCACATGTTGTTTCAAGTACTTCAACAAGTAGTGAAAAACAAGTTAGCGAGAGTCATGGTCTTGATGATTCCGAAAGCCTTTTTTCATGTAAAATATAATTTAATTTGTTTGAATTNCTGCCAACTTGTCACATGTTGTTTCAAGTATTTCAACAAATAGTGAAAAACAAGTTAGCGAGAGTCATGATCTTGATGATTCCGAAAGCCTTTTTTCATGTAAAATATAATTTAATTTGTTTGAATTGAATGTGACCAAAATAGTTTATTGTATATTCGTAATGATTTTTTACAAAATGTAGGATTTTGAAAAAAATGAAGAAGATTTTCCTGTTTCTCGAGTGACTGAGTTGCAGTTGTATTTTAATGAAAAAAAGCTTGATTAAAAACAAAACTTGGATATTCTAACCTTTTGGAAAGGAGAGCAGTTTCAGCATCCTATACTGTCGGTTGGCTTATGATGTGATGACAATTCCTTTTTCTATAATTCATCTGAATCTGCATTTAGTACCGGTGGTGGAGTTTTGAATAAGTATCAAAGTTCACTTTTGCCAGAAACTATCCAAATTTTGATTTGTAC